CTTCTCGCGCAGCTCTTGGCGCCTGACATGCTGGGTTCTGGCTCTTGGTGCCTGGAGGCCACATTTGAGGATGGCGTTCACGGGTTTGTGATGTCCAACCATGGCCTTCATTGCAAAGCAATGCGCAATGATCCGCTAGCTCCACTACCATTCCTACTTGGCTTGTTGGTACTGAGACCCGTGTTTATAGTGACCATCAGTCGTAGTCTTCCTAGTCAGGGATGACAGCTACATACCAACCCAAGAGCATATTTAGGAGCAATAGTGATCAGGTATGTGGACAAGGGCTGCAGGAACAAGGAAAAGAAGCAGATTAGGCGAATGGTCACGAAGTACTTTGTCGGGAGATGCCACTGAACAGAAGCTGCCCATGCACTCGGCAAAGCTCTTGTCTACAAACCCCTGCGGCACACATCGGACGTCATGATGTAGACAACCGGACGAACTTATCCTGTCAAGCCCTCGGCCCTAACCCCATCCTAATGCTAAGCCCGAAACTGTCAAGGATTTCATCATAGAACCAGACCCTGAGCCCCAAGCCACCCGAATGCGCCTGCGTTTCTCTTCTGCCGCCTTTTTGAAAAATTCCTCCTGGCTGCCGTGGGCTTCTCAATTCAAGTTGTGGGTTTGAGGTCGTTGGGTGCAGGCTCGTATGAAAGCTCTTCCCAGCTATCAAGCGGGATGCTGCCATGTCGAAACTGACGATGGCCACGGCGGGCTTCTGGGCCCACATTTATCTTTGGGCAAGCCAATGCAAAGAATACGTAGTCCAAGGACCGTCCGTTGCTCTCTGCACAAACCCGCGCAGCATAAATGTTTGTTCGGCCTTCGAGGACATGTGAAGCATGGACTAAAAGACATTTACCCGTGGTAGTACTATCACCAATACCAGTGCTGTGAACAGGCTTCGCCCCCCAACGTGTTGCTCGCAACTTTCTCCCTAATCCGTTCGAGTCGAGACCATCCATGGCCAAAACATGATGACGTCCATGGTCGGATCCGTGTCGGATGGAGAGCAACCATGATGACATCCATGGTCTAATCCGTCATGCATGGAGAGCATCCATGGCAAAAGCATGATGGTCAAACTTGTCTTGAAGTGAGAGCTCCCATGGCCCAACGATGATGACGTTCAACGTAAAATCCATTTCGAGCTCAGAGCATCCATTTCTCATCATCTTTTACGACAAGATACGCACTAAATCCGGTCGGTGGATGGAAGGTATCCTGCACCAACTACTTACCCCAAGGAGTATACAGTATAAACCATCACCAAGCTACCTCGCGCCCGCCGTTCAACAGTGTTGGCTGTCTTGATGGGGAGGGCAGGATTAATATTGGGCCAAGTCCTGCAAACTGCTTTTTCATGTTGAAAAGGGGTGCGCGGGCTTTTTGCGCAGTGCAAGCTTTCCTCCATCCACAGTAGCCCCAGTACGAGTCCCACAACTACCAAAGACTACCACGACCACCGCAACTCAACTGCCCACTGCCCACTGCCAGTGCCCTTTCCCTTTACCGTGACACTGCGACGACGAGTGCTTGCTGCTGTTCAGGCAAACCGGTGACCGGTGCCTTCACCGCCTTGAGCTTCTCAAGCGAATGCTCCTGTTGCTCAGGTTTTGAGCACAGGGCAGAGGGGCAGCGTCCGGAGCTTCGCACACGTCGACGGATCCAAGATAAAACAAAGCGTTTGTAAGTTTCGGGGCTTCTGCCTTGTTGGAAACTCCGGGCTTGAACACGCGATGAACCTTCGAGCACAAACATTACTTAAGATACTGAGCATTCTACGAACAGCAAGACGACGACCGATACCCTCCCTGAAGTATCTGGAATCTTGTACACCTTATGCACTGCACTCTGCCTTGGCCCGGCACTGCTGCTTGAGCCCGGTGACGGAAGCCTCCTCTCAAGAGTCTTTGGACGAAGAGACCAGCGAAGTGAGCGCAGGGGTTTTCGGCCCGTGTCTTCAAGAGGTGGCTGTGGCTACAATATCCTCAAGCAACAGACACATTCGGCGCCGGATCTTGGCCAACTTCATGCAACAGGTACAGATTTCGACAGCATCAAGCATCTGCATGCATTTGCACAGTCATGTTAGTGGATTTAGGGCCCTTGCCCCTGCACTTCTAAAGAGTCCAGCAATTCAACAAAATGGGAGGCGGGACAATCATGTGAACTACTTGGCGGCTGCGGCTGCTACTGCTGCTACACCTCCTCCTCCTCCTCCTACTACTACTACTACTACGACTCCTACTACTGCGGCTGCTGCTGCTGCTACTGCTACTGCTACTGCTACTGCTACTACTGCTGCTGCTGCTACTACTACTATTATTATTACTACTACTACTACTACTACTCCTACTCCTACTCCTACTCCTACTCCTACTCCTACTCCTACTCCTACTCCTACTCCTACTCCTACTCCTACTCCTACTCCTACTCCTACTCCTACTGCTACTGCTACTGCTACGACGACTAACGGTACAGTCGCTGTCATTGTGCTCAATGTGTGTGTATACTTACTACCCAGTGGCATTGGTGCCATTCTCGAACCATGCATGTAGCAGCATGCTTTCACAATCACAATCCAGAACACGACTGCTCTTACACAAAAGATGCGGCTGAAACTTCATGAATCTAAACTATCTCTACGGTCCCCAGAGCGGGGTCTAGCTTTGGCCTGCTCGTGGCTTTCCTACATGGCTTGCAGATACTTCCAGTCAGGGCAACGTAGTCAGAGTAGACCTTGCCCAGTTTGGGTAATAATGCCACCGCCAACCCATTAGATGATCATTCCTATACTCCCCCCTACACATCACCGATAAATCACAACTGCTACCCCCATTAGATGATTATTCCTATACTCCCCCCTACACATCACCGATAAATCACAACTACTACCCCCATTAGATGATTATTCCTATACTCCCCCCTACACATCACCGATAAATCACTACTACTTACTACTTCCCCCATTAGATGATCATTCCTATACTCCCCCCTAAATTTCACCGATATATCACTACTACTACCCCATTATCAACACAATTCTAGGAATAACCATAACCCCATCTATTACCTCTAAGGTGGCATTATTACTCAAAAAGGGCAAGGGGGGTCTCGTAGGATTTGGTTCAGGGTTTGGGGTTAAGGGTTTTAACTACATTGTAATTATAATATATAACTGCTTATGTATTATAATTACATTATAACTATAACCATGCTAATAATAGTGTTATAGTTGTTTCTATACTAATGAAAATACATAATCTACATATTCCATAATCTCTTCAGTGGTTGTATTATAATATTCTCTCCAACCGACCAACCAAAAATCAAAACATTCTCGTAGTATTTCCTTTACTATAACTTCCTTACTAATTTCAAAGCCGTTAAATCTTATAGTAGCGGTTTTAATCTTGTAATATGCGATTTCCTTTTTAAGCTCTTCTATATTGGTTAAATTGTGAATGACACAATACAATAGCATCTCGTGACATACACCGTGAAACATAAGACGTTCGCGGTCTGAATGGTTTCTGATATTCATAAACTGCTTCATTATCTTTCGCAGTGGGTTATTTGACCTTCTGATGATGTTTTTGTATTTTCGCCTATCCATGATTGTATCAATGTCGTGGTTACGATATAGCAAGTGTAATATTATTTTTGCACGTTGTTTAACTTTGAAAGTTTGAGGTTTTTCTCAAAGTCTTCCATTTCTAAAATCTTATTTCTACACTTATCGCACTTGTCATATTCACATACACGATTACATATATCAATCGGCAATTTGCTATTTAACACCCTTACTTTGTTGGTTTCTTCGCACTTCCAACAATTTTCAAACTTGAACATTTCCCTGTTAATATATGTAGGTGTTATTTCTTTAAGTCATTTTCCTCAGAATTATTATTTTCTTAAGATTTGCTGCATTGCGGTTTATTTGACAGACTTGTCCAAGCACTCAGAACAAGTCGCAATGTATTTAACATAACAATAAGAATGCTTACCAACACAATAGCAACGCTTGAAATAATCAATGGATTTGACTTGCTTACAACGATAACACATCCTAGTATTAGTATTATTTGTTTCAGTATATGGTTCAAAATCAACTAATATCCTATCTACTCTTACTGGCATTACTATTATTATATACACTTTTTCATAATGCGATATTATGAAAATTTGCACCGGGAGAGACTTAGCTCCTCTCGCGATTGCTCTACATGCAATCGGTTCCTTCAGATTTAACGAAACTAATTACGAATTAATGTCATTACCAAACTCTTATGGTTTGCTTATGAACCTGTAGACTTGCTAGGCACTCGGGGGCATTGGCTCACTTCCTTCTTCTGTGTTCATTGGGGACGTTTTCTTTTAATGCCAAGATGGCCTGTCAATATACATGAGATTTTAATCCATAATATTTAAATTATTCTTCAAAATATTTACATCTTTGTCTATCCTTTCAACATCCTCCTCCACTTTTTCTAATCTCTCTTCTGGTGTAGGCTTTCGCGATCCCCACCCGGTGGTAACTGTATCAACACCTTCATTATCTTGTGGGCTTGTTTTAAATATGTCGTTTTCATCGGGGGTTATTCCTCTCCCCATCTTCCAACTGCTCCTGTCTTCAATTATTGTTTTACCTTCATTGTTTATCTTAGTTTCTTTGTGAAAAGTCTTTCTTCTGCATTTGCAGGGCAAACAGTTTAACCCATCCGTGTTCAAGTGGAAGCCACCTTCATTAGTGTCACTATGATTGTCGCTCATTATACTTTCTTAGATTTTTTTAAATACTCAAGCACTGCCTTAAGCAATTCTAAAGAAGCGGTGCAACACCTCTTAAGCTTGGTGTCTTGAATTACAATCTTTTCAATTTCTTCAATCTCCTCTATCGTTTCTAAATACTTCTCCATTATATTAAAAGATATTTTTCTCTTATTAGTTAATGAGTGAAGAAATACCTAAAGTAGAACCGATAGACATACCCG